ATGCATATTGCATAGTCCATGGACACAAACAATAGAGTGGTGAAGGCTTGGAATTGAGCAGGAAGGAGCTGGGTGGAAGGGGGCAAAAGGAGAGGGGGGAATTGGGGACATTTGTAATACTGTTAGCAATAAAAACAAATTAAAAAATAAAAACTTGCCAAAAAAATTCTTTAGTGCTCTAATCTAATCTAGAAAACAGATTTAAATGCTCAAATTTTTAAGTGGACATAAAAATATTTTTCTCATTTAGAATAAGCACAGTATAGTATTTTTCCACTGAAAAGAAGTTATCATCAGTGCTACCCACTTAATAGTAGCCCCATCTGAAATGTATAAACTTATTGATAGCTGCTTAACCAACTGGTCATTTTTAGCTTTATTACTAACTCAGACTGTTATCAAATGAGTTCAAAGCAATTCAGCAAGAACTTATTTAGCAACTACTGTTTACTTGATGCTGTGCTAGCTAAATGATTATTATCAAGAAAGCTGTTCTCTCATTTTTCCAATACCTAGGTGAAGAGGAGGAGACAAGGAAAATACAGCCACCATAATAATACTTTCAGAAAACACATAACAGAGGAGCCTAAAAATAAATAAATACCAGCTTAAACAGCATAGGCCTCACCAATCTTCCCATATTCTGTTAGATAAATATGGGACCATATCTGGTATCCATGGTCCAACATTATCTATAAACCACAGATAATCAGGAAGTTGGACAAACCAACAATCCATCCACACACCACAGTAATTGAGAGGCTGTATACCAACGTGTTGGCACAGGGTATCCCACGCCTTTATCTGCAGTGCTAACCACTCATTCATTATTAAACTGCAGTAGTGTTAACATATGTTGCAGTCGTGCTAATGTTTGTTTTATAATCACTGATTATCTACCCTTATACTAGCTAAGAAGGTAAGTGTTAAGTGAATGGAAATTTGAAAACTAGTTCACGTATGGAAACCCAGAAAATTCCCCCCCTAATCTCAAGGATTCCAGATTCAAAATATTAATCCGTATTAAGCTATAGATGTACAGAAATTCCACTACCTTGATGAAAATATAGAATTTTTATTTTGTGTCCCATGCCTTCTTCGTCCTCTCTGGGAGAGCCAATGAACCATGTTAGGCAAGCAGTCAGCCTTGATGATTTTTTTCAATCACTCAACAAACCAGCACCTGAAATCCCTCATGGGCTAGTTCTCTGAATTTCATCCAGACACAGCGGGGTTAGCAATGGCTCTCCCAGGGGCCACTGACCAGCCTTTACCTCCCAGAGCTCATAGCCCAACTGATGGTCAATTGGAAGCTTAGGTGAGAAAATGAGCTGAGTTGGACAGTTCTATCAATATGAAAATGTCCAGTTTCACCTGCCTGAATTTCACCTCTGCTAAAAGTTCATTAAGAAAATGAAAACTACCTGATTTATAGGTACTTAATATTACCTACTAAAAAGTTGAATTATGAGCAATAATAATGAACAGAAGGAGCAAACAGTAAACTCTTATAGAAGGTATTTAGAAGAGATTCGGAGTTTTGTTTTGCTTAATCGGTAAAAGACAAATTAGAGAAAAAAGACAAAAAATTCGTTTTCAGGTATTTAACATATAAATAATTTAAAAATATTTATTTCAAGTAACAGAGAGCCATTCCTAAATAGGTTTCCCACCTTATGCAGGATTTAGTATGAAATAATTTAATAAGTCAAAAGGGGGTAATTTTTGTTGCTTAGATTCTCATTAAACCTTTAAACCCATGTGAAAATGCTCCTGCAGCACTAGAAATTTTATGAAGAGTAAAAGACAGGATAACATAAAACTCGCTGACCCTTAAGTCTCAATTAGTCCAGACTTTCAATTAAATGTGCTTTTAGAGGAGATAAAAATTCTATAGACAAAGCTACTATTATTGATTTTAATTAATAAATGTATGGAGAATGGAGATTCTGGTTGATTGGGTAAAGGCAGTGCTTTTATTATACTCAGAGGTATCTAACTCTTATATCTTTTAAGACACCCCTTACCTGCCTAAGTCCTAAAATCCTACACCAAATCCACCAATTTCTACCTCGAAACTATAAAAAAGCAATTCAGCAAGTCATAATTTATCAGAAAGGAAAGAAAACTATTATTAATTGGAAAGATGGCAAGGCCATAGCTTTAAAAAATACAATGAATCACTTTTTTTTTTAACATATCTTTGTTACTCAAATACCATTCTGATCACTCATGGTGCAAGAACATTCAAATAATAAACCAAAAAGAAACAGAAATTAAAGACTTGTTTTCAAACACTATAGTCAATGATGCCACACTTGCCTATAAAACCACATCCACACCTCAATGGCTACCAAACCATTCAGCAGAGCTTCCTTAACTGTAAGCTGTTTGAAGATAACCAGTTTGAGCTGTAGGGACTTTTTCCTCCCTAAGCTTTGAATAGCTATAGGGATCTCAGCAGGGTTGAAGAAGTAAGCTCAACCATGGTATTCTGCTAAAATGAAGCCAATCAAAAGTAACAGCATCTTTATCAGCATGCATGTGTGTTGTGGGGGAGAGGGGCATCCTGGTTATGGATAAATTGGGCCATGGTTTTAGGATGGAAAGTCTCTGAATACTACTTCTTTCAGTTTGAAACTGGAGATCCTGGGGAAATAAATAGCCTTTTAAAAATGATTCAGCAAACACTACTAAGCTACAGATGATGCTACTCCCAAGAGATATTTACTTCCCATGTCAAAATTAAAATATAAAGCCCTGTACTAACATGTAGTATCTAGTTTTCAGTGATCAGCAACTACAAACAGCACCCCTGCAGTTTATTTCACATTCAGTCAATTTCAGACTTTGGGCATTAAAAAAACAAAACAAAACAAAACAAAACAAAACAAAACAAAACAAAAAAACACCAATTACTTAATTTTGGTAAGAATTCAAAGCCCCATCTCTGAAATATAAAAGCAATCATAAGGCAGCACACAACTTGGACTATACTGCTGTGTAAGTCTCAAAGTCCACTAAATCTTTAATGATAGCCTTATAGTGATGTAAATGGGAGTGCCCCTCAAATAATCTCTACTAGGCAAAAGATAGGACATGGGGCTTCCTGATTCAAAAGAGATAAAACCTGACCCCCCTCCCCCAAATTTTGAAGTAATGCTTTAGCAATAAGTATTGGATAGCATGTTTCACATTCAATTCAATGGTTTGCTCTACACCTCAGATACAACTCCCGAGGACCTTCCAGTTTACTGCACTGGTAGAAATTCCGAGACTTCACCATAATCATGACTGTGTAGAAAACTGAGCAGTCAGGTATGCTAAGAGAAACAATGAGGTCAAAGCTCATTTCAGCATGAGCTTAAGTGATTCCAGAAAGATCTTGATTGGGGATGCCAAGCACTAGCCTCAAACCTGCAGGTTGGCACCTCAAGAACTGCCGCAAATTCTACTGCATGCCCTGGCTCCTTGGGCCAACAATACTTAATTACTACTCTGATACACTGCAGATCACTCTCAACCAAAGAAAAGCAAAGGGGCTTTTAGACCAATACTTCCATTGCTTGCTTTCAGATCTTCAAAAAAGTGAGAATGTCAACATCTTAATTTTAAGCTAATGAATTTATTATGAATCAGAGGCCGGTGGTTTTTCCATTATGACTGTCATGTTGAAAAGACTATCCTTTTCACAAATATTACCATTAGCTTTTTGTCACCCCCATACAATACATTTATATTTCCCAAAAATCTATGAAATAGAATATTCTTTTACCTTCTTGGGCTAAATGTGAGAAACCAATTTTGGTCACTTCCTTTATAGCAAAGCACCAAATACAAGCCAATTCCTATGGATTTCAAGATCATTGATATGTACAACTGGTACTGACTGCCACAGATAATCTGCTCCAATTTCATAAAACATGTTTATGGAAGAGGTAAACATTTAGAAAAACATTAACGCGGCACTCTTGTGATACTAATATCCTAAAAGGGGATGTCTAATTCTCTTTTAGCCACAGTACATTTGTGAAAGTTTCAAATGCACAAGGATAATAACAATCTCAACTTAAAAACAAAGCCTTCTTTCACATCATTGGCAGAAATATCAAATCCTATCCCCTCCACCTCATCTTGAAATTAAGGAAGTTACTACAAAACAGCAACATGGAAGTCATGGTCCCTGTTTTACTCCATTCTTAATGTACCCTCTAGGAGTAAAACAGGTTACTCAAAGATAGTAGCCAGATTGTCAGTTCAGGGGAATTGGAAAGGGGGTAAACGTGGGCGGAGCTGTTTAGCAGCAGCCTGCCTCCACCCAAGGGTTCAGTGCCAGGGGCTTTAAGGGCTCCGCGGGGCTTTAGACGCGATGCTCAGTAGCGGCTGTGCCGCCTCTAGGAGTCCCCACATCCATCCAGTCCACATTGACAATCGCCCTAGCTTTTATCAGCCCCTGAAGGTGAGCTTTTTAGGCTAGGTCTCCAAAGTTTATCCAGCCTCCGATCACCAGCCACCCAAGCAAGGTTGAGTCCTACCCTCGCCTCGGGCCCCCTAAAAGCCCCGGAGTCTCCTTTTTGGCCACCTTTTCTGCCACGGAGACAGGTTTACGTTTACCACCTCCATGTGCTCGTAGCAGAAGAAACAAAAGAAAGCCACCTCCCTGATCATAAAACGCCATCTTCGACTAATTGGCAAACCGAGGGGCCCTTCGGTGGTCGGTCCCCCACCATCCGGTCCTAGGCACCCCCACCCCGTCTCCAGGCTGAGTTTGTAAGGGCTCCATGAAGCACAGCTTAAATCGTCCGGGCTGATGGGGAGGGGGGGTGTCCTCTGAGAGCCCTACCTGCCTCCCACCCGGGCTGCCGGGGCAGCATATTTCAGTGAGTATTAAAAGGCGGTGTCTCCCACAGATGCACTGATCTCGGCAGAAAACTGTCCCCAGCGGAGGGACCGACGAGCCAGCGCACTGGCCCGCGTGGAGCCGCAGCGCGGGTACTTACAAAGCGATTAAAGCTCCTGCGGAACATCGCGTCCGAGGTGGGGGGCGCCGAGCTGCGTTCCGCCGGGCTGGCTGGGAAGGCGCCGTCCACAGAACACACTGCGGCGGGGGCGGCTGGCGCGAAGCGCACGAGAGGCGGGCACCCCGGCTACCAGCAGCCGCCCGCACCGCCGCCGCCGCCCTCCTGGGCTCTGAGCGCTGCCCCCGCCCCCCCGCGCCCCCGCCCCGCCTCGCTCGCGGCCCGCCCCCACCCGCGCGTCCTGGGAACCGTGGCCCTACCGCTCCCGCTTATCTGGCCCCGGCACCGCCGCCCCTCGGCTCCCGCAGCAGCCCGCGGAGAAGGCGACTCCGAAGCGCGGGGGAGGAAAGGGGGGGGAGCCCTAGGCTCCTCCTGCGGGGAGGGGACGCTCCTATTTCTCCGCCGGCGCCGGGCTCGGCCTCCCGCGGTCTGCACGCTTCCCAGAAGCAGGGCCACCGCCCGCCCTCCCCGCTAGCCAGCCCGCGTGCTTCCGTCCCACTCGGGGCACAGGGGAGACTCTCCAAGGCACCCCGCGCCTCACCTGGCCTCACTACTCCACTGGCTCGGTCGGGAGTCCCAGACTCCCCTGAACCGGCCCTAACTCCTGCACCGCACCGCTTCACTTGCAGTCCCTCCGGGGTCCGCGCCGCCCGGCGCTTGGGTCCCGCACCCGGGTGAGGGAGCCACAGTGCCGCCCACCGGCCCGCCCCGAGCCCACCGGACTGCAAGGCTCTGAGCTAAGAGAAGCAGGGCGCTCCCTGTGAACGCCTCAGTGCGATCGGGGCGGGGAAACTTGTTACGAAACCCGCCCCCTCCTCGTCTGGAAAGCGCGGGTCTTCCCACTACCCTTTCCTAGCTCCGCTCCCACCTACTCGGCTGGCCCTCCTTTGGTTCTGTGGTCCTGCCTCCCACCGCCTTACTTCCACTTTCTCTAGCGGTTGTAAAGTCAGGCTAGTGTGCTACTGCGCAGGGGGGCGGGATTTCCCTGCCGCCCAGCCCCACCCTAAGCTCCGCCCCTTCGCCTCCTAGCATCATGGGAGTTATAGTCCAATTTTGCCTCTATTCCACCGTGTACTGTGGACCCGGAGCTCCCTCACTCGCCTGTGCCTGGTTTGCCCAGAGCGTTGAAGGAGGAAGCGGCTGAGACCTCCAGGCCAAACCGTGGTTCTCAGGGACTGAATGTGGAGGCCAGGAGTGCTCCTTAGATTCCCCACTATGTGGGAAATGTGAGAGGGATAACTAAGGCAAAGCCCCAAATGCTGGAAGCCTTCCCTAGATTGTGAAACCCTCTGGGCTCCTAGTTTAGAACTAGAATTTGACAAACTTTAAAAATGAGATACGAAAGCTGAGTCTGGAATTGCCGCAAGACTGGGCATCCCAACCATCACTTTCTTTCTTTTTTTTTTTTTTTCTTTTTTTTAAAATATATTTTATTGAATTTTTACAGAGACGAGGAGAGAGGGATAGAGAGCTAGAAACGTCGATGAGAGAGAAACATCGACCAGCTGCCTCCTGGACACTCCCTACCAGGGATGTGCCCGCAACCAATGTACATGCCCTTGACCGGAATCGAACCTGGGACCTTTCAGTCCGCAGGCCGACGCTCTACCACTGAGCCAAACCGGTTTCGGCCCAACCATCACTTTCTATGGCTTGCCCGAGGCTGTTGAAGAACTTTCTGATTCCTCTATGAAAGTAAAGAATTTAAGTACATTTACCAGAGCTTTCTACTGTGCCATATTCTCCTGCCAGTCTAAAGTTGGGGACAGGGTCCAGCGACAACACGGGCCTCCCTTCAGATAGTGAAGGCCCTTACTGCTGCCCACTAGCTCTTCTTTTCTCCTCAGGGGTTCAGACTCACTTCAACAAACTTTTATTGGGCATTTTCTTTGTACCATGCACTGTGCTAAGGGCTAGATGCAGCAACTTCTTGAAAGACCTTCCCAATAACCTGGTTGCAGTCTAGTCAGAGGATGTTTGCTAGAGCAGATGTTCAGAAAATGGAGAAGAGCAAGATTGTATCTGAAAGGGGGGGTCTGGAAAGCTTTTCTGAAAACGCTGAAGATTACACTGGACCTTAAAAGTGGGAAGGCTTAAAAAACAGGGGGGAAAAAAAAAAAAAGTGGGAAGGCTTTACAGGAGCTGGCAGGAAAAAAAAAAAAAAAAAAAAAAAAAGAACAGTGGGCAAAGTCCAGGGTGGAGGGAGAGGTCTGTGAGAAAGTACAGGACAACTTTAGAAAAAGAACACACTGCCCTGTCATATGCCCAGGATGTGTGGGCTGTGTGAGCAGATCGCCTGAATGAACTAAACCCTTCCCCCAAAGGATCTTCAGAAACACTCTATGAAATTTGACCTTGATTCTTTGAGGAGGAACCAACCCCCAAAGTGCAAATGCATGAAATTTAAGGTAGGTGCACAAATTCCTAATCACCAAGAAGTAAAATCTTATCTTTCCCTATTGTAGTTCCTTCAGATTGGCTCACACTGAGGATTCATCTAATGATTTTTGAAGTTTATCTAAAATGCATATTAATTAGACATTAGGATGTTTTTGTGTTGTGTTGTGTTTTTGTTTGTTTTTTTTGGGGGGGCAAAATGGATCTAAACTTTTGCTATCTATTCTTTCAAAAATTTATTTTCAAATAGAGTTTATTTTCTGGCTTTACATTTTGTTGAACACAACAACTAATGTAATTTAACTCACATTAGTTAAATTACTATGTAGCAGGCCTTAGTCTAGATACTGAAAGGGTGTGGAAGAGATTATTGTCTTTTGTTCTAGGCACAAATTTAGAATCATTATCAATAAAATGCATCCTTATCAATAAAATAGGTAATACAAAATTAATTTAGACATTGGGGTTACAAATGCTTACTAGTAAGTAATAAGTAATATCTTTTTATATACAATTTTGTTAAACAAATGGAAAAATGTACTTTGCTTATGAATTCAAACAGACCAACTTAAAAAATTAGAGAACTGAAAATTGTTTTGCAGTGTTCTCTCACATACCTTTGTGTAATGTTTCATATGCCATTGTCATTTAGCCCAGCTTAAAAGCAAAGCATTTACCATCCCCCAAGATAGAGCAGTAATGTTTGTCATATTTTCATTTGTTATTATAATCACACTATCTCTATGTTCTCCTAATTTATTTCATCACAACATCTATACTCATGGGTTTGCTTGACTATAAAAATGCAATCGCACACAAATCAATCTATGCTCAGTAAAACATGAAAATTAGGCAAGGTAATTTTTTCCATATACAAACTCAACCTGAAGTTAGTTGCTCTCACATACATCCTCTAGAGTTACTTTCCTTTGAGCTTTTTTTTATGACAAGAAGAAATTATTTTTGTTCTTTGCAAGGCCTCTTCACAGTTTCTAAAGAAAACCCAAGTGTTGTAAAAGGCTGTTTTCATAATGACTAATGACTATGAAAACGCAGACCATCAGCCTGCATTTTCATTTGGCCTACTCCATAAACACAACTGCAAAAACCGACTTCCTCCAGCCTAAACTGTCAGAAGCCTTGGCATATGTAACATCAACTCTTGTGGTGTAGCAGCTGACTGCAGCAGAAGTCCCAGGATCCTGCAGGCAGGAATTGTGAGGAAGCAGCCTTTTGTCCTTTTCACATCTCCACTAGGTATAATGCTTACCGTAGGATAAAGGTAAGGGAAAGTGTTCTCCCTTGACTAATTTAATTCTGCTGCTTCATTTCTGTGCATGATCCTTATAAGCCCTTCTTATCTATGGACCCCCTTGTTCATTCCCACCTTCTATCTCAACCCTCAGAAATCTCACCATGGCAAATGGGCAGAACCATGTCCAGGGCACAGGACGCAGTATACAATTTCAAAGGAGGAAGCACACTGCTTCTCGGTTCAGTCAGATGGTCAGCAATTCAGGGATCCAGCAGGAAGGGAATGGTAAGAAGGCGTCACTTCCTCCATCTAATACTAAAAAAAGAAAAGAAAAAAAAATTGAAGCTGTTATATCAGCATCTAAATGAATGCCATCAGCAAGTTGAAGAAATTCAATTGTCTGCTGAGCTTTCAAACATACCCCATAAGACAACCTTTTGCCCATTTGACATTTTTTTTCTCCCAAGACTGGCCTTAATGTTTATTTAATACCAAATTCACCCATATTTCCCTATAGGTCCTCTTAAATTAAGTTTTTACACTGCATCCACAGAAACCTTTGGAAGACAAAGCAGGTCAAATCACTCCCCTATTTATGATTTTTAGTAGCTTCTCCTTGCATTAGGAGAAGTCCCAAATCTTACTTTGCCATCATCTACATGACTGTGAATTCTCTGACCCATGCCTTCCTCTCTAATCTCAATGAGCCTATTCTTCCCCTCACTCAGCAAGCTCCACCCCACTGGGCACCTTTTTTCCCATAAGTTCCAAAAGACCCATCTTCCCTGACAGCTTTTGCACATATGACCATGGGAAGCTTTCACGTGGCCTTTGCTATTCATTTTTCAGATCTTAGCTTAAATGTCACTTTGTCAGATGCGATCAGGGCCCAATAACTCATATTATTGACATTGAGGGTACTGACAAATGAGGTTAGTAATCATGGAGAACAGTAGAAGTCCAAGGGGATTGTGAGTGATCTAATATTGTTTTGATTTGCAAAAAGGGAAAGTTGATGTATTCTAGTAATCATGATATCAAAGGCAAACAAGGTTCTAGAGCAGACTATTAAAAGGATAGCATATTGCCTTAGCTAGTTTGTTCAGTGGATAGAGTGTTAAGCAGCAGACTGAAGGGTCCCAGGGTTTGATTCTGGTCAAGGGCACATACTTCAGCTGCAGGCTCGCTCCCTCACCCCCAACCCCGCCCCAAGTCAGGGCACCTCAGGGGGCAACCAATGGATGTGTCTCTCTCACATCAGTGTTTCTCTCTCTCTCAGTCTCTCCCTCTCCTTTACCATTCTCTCTAAAAATCCTCTGGTGAGGATTAACAAAAGAAAAAGAAAAAAAAAAAAGGA